AAAATCAGGTTTTATCTTTTTTAATTAATGATGGTATTATAAAATTAAAATACACACCCTATTACTTACCCCACCAACTTTATTTTAAATATAAAATATTAAATCTGTCCAAACCTAATCCATTTCATCTCTGTTGGTCTCACCATTTCTCCCATCCACCGCCACCTCTCTCCACTACTGCCTGCCGCCTCCTCCCTTCTCCTCTTCCCTCCCCCCTCCCTTTGCTACTTCGCTGCTGCGATTTGCAGCAGCTGCGTCTCTGCTGCAATTCGCAGCAGAGCGACGCTGCTGCGACTCGCAACAACTTCTTGCCTTCTCACGCTGCTGCGACCCCACAGCAGTGACGCTGCTGTGGGTGTGGTAGGCGATGAAGGTGCTGTGGGTCTTCGATGCGGTGGAGGGCTTCGATACGGTTGTGTGGTGTTGTGGCGGGGTCGAAGGCGGCAGCGGTGTTTTCTTGGTGTGGTGGTGCGGGCGGCGTTGGGATGATTTTTTTTGTTATTATTATGGTGGTGGTTGGGGTGGTGTTGTGACGTTCTGATGATGGTGGTGCTGTTCAGGCGGAGACGATGGTGGTTGTTGATGGTGTTATTGTTGGTGGGTGTTTTAGGGATTAGGGTCGGCGGCCTGATGACAAGAAGTGTCTGTGACCATCTATTTAGTCGATCTGTGACCTGTGACGGATGGGACGAAGTGTCTGTGACCTGTGACTCAGTATTGTTGGTGTATTGGGATTGGGGGACAGGTGCGGCAGATGGGATGAAATGTCTGTGACCATCTATTTGGTCAATCTGTGACCTGTGACCAAGTATTGGTGGTGCACTGGATGAGGGACGGCTGTTTGAGTGTATGTGACCATCTATATGGTAATCATGACCTTAAAATTCGTTACTCTGTGACTGAAAATATAATCTTATGACTTCGAAATAATCCGTGACCAATTAATTTGATAAGTTTTAATTGAAAATTAAAATTTTAACTAATAAATAAGATGTCTGTGACCTTAACAATTGCCGGAATCGGAGCAGTCGCCGGAATTA